AAAATTACTAACCCGGAAACGGGAAAAGTTAGAAAGCTGAAACTTTAGGATAATGTTCCGTACTGGGACCAAAAGATTTCAAATTCAGCTCTTTAAAGCCGTCCGATACTCACGTACGGACACGCGAAAATTTTGATCGGAAAACTGCTAACTCGGGAGCGGGAACGGCTGAAGGCTTTAATTTTAAGGGAATGTCCCCTACTCATGTGCAATTAAAAGATTTCAAATTTAACTCTTCTAGTGCGACCCTTTTTGCGGACCAACAACTTTCCATTTGTCGGGTCACTGAAGTCGACACCTACAACTGACATACTTGTTAGGCCCGTTACGTGACCCTTGACTGTAGCAGCGATGAACGGGGGAGAAACACCAGTTTATTCTTCTAATAAACACTTCACTCCAGAGAAGACGTCAAATAAGATGACACGTCAAAATGGCGAACAGAACGACGCGTAGGACAATGAACTGGGGCACCGCACAAGCTGTGCAACAGAATGCCAGCGGTGGAGAGGCAAGACGATAGAGGCGTTGGACGTGACGGTGAAGCGGCGCCGTTGACTGAAGATTTGTCGAAACTTAACTAACTGACTAACTGATTGTGGGTCTGGATCTAGGAAGGGTTTACATAGGGAGAATTAGTGGAGGGAAAATGAGGGCAAGTTAGTTAATAAGTAGGAAAGTAGATAGTATAGAAACATTTAGAATTTGGTGGAATTGTTAGAAGTTAGTAAGACGGAGGAAGTAGGTCAAAGTGTCAGAATTTAAGGGGAGGAGGGAAATGGGTAATTATAGGATTACATGCCCCCCGGCTCAGTAGCGTGGTCCCCACGCGTCGTATAATAAAAGTACAAATAAATGACAAATAGATTCACAATAAGCAAGCACGTATCATGGCGAAAGTGGCATAAAAGAACAAAAACAATACAATACAAAACAATACACTACAGTAGCAAAACAAAGCGGAAGGAATAAAAAATTTCATTTACTATCTTCTCGCGAGCGCGCTCCATAATATTTGCTACTGCCATTTATCTTCTCGTCCACTACATCAACGCGTCATCGCATATGTTGGGCTTATGGATCCCTACGTATTGGTCTGATGGCGGTTGGTAATGCGACACTGAATTTCGCCCCGCGTTAGATTGAAATATGTCGGAGTTTGTCGGCTCATTGCTTGCCTAATCGTCACTTTTCTAAAATAAAAGTGAGGCCTCCCTAGCCTGCAAGCGCGCACTCCTTAACTCCTGCTTAATACTATCTTTCACACGTCTCACTATTTTTCTGCGCCTAGTAGCTCCCATATAGCATTCCCCTTCCTCAACTTCTACGGGCACCTTTTTAAGATGATCGATTTGAACTCGAAAAGGTTGCTCCGTTTTACCAATTAACCGAACTAGAGCGCTATTTTCCGATAATTCGATGATACGGTAAGGCCCAGCATATAATTTGCCTTTCTTTGTCGGCATATAGACTAAAACTCGCTCGCCTACCTTGAAAGCACCAGCTACCGTTCTGTTACGTTTGTCGTAATATTCCTTTGCTAATGCTTGCGCTTTCCGCAAGTTTCTCGATGCTTGTGCTCTAATTTTTTGTAAGCCTCGCAACAACTCAGCCCGATAGTGATCAATATCGATAACTAACTCTCGGATATTATCTTCCGCTTCGGGTCGAAAAGGCAGTATCGGGTCTGTACCATGAAGCAAGAAATAGGGCGACTCTCCTGTTGTATCATGAGGTGCCGTGTTATATGCATAAAGAACAAAAGGGAGACGTGCATCCCATTCCGATGGATTTTGAGTACTTCGAGCTAACATAGCTACCAGCGTTTTATTCATCCTCTCTGTCAGCCCGTTTTGACGTGGATTATGCCCTACTGTGAGATTATGCTGAAGGAAGTCGACAATTTCCTTGAATACTTCATTCTCAAACTCTCGACCGCGATCCGAAATAAGGACCTTCGGGCAGCTTGCCTCCTTGGCTACCAACTCCTCAACAAAAACGCGCGCTATGGTTTTGGCTGATTTGTCCGGGACCGCATACGCACTACACCCTTTAGAAAAAGCGTCTATTATTGTGATTACATAGCGGTTACCCCTACTAGTTCTGCCCAGTTCTAA